GATTTTTTGGTTATTGCTATATTTCAAAAGGAAAATATAATTTACTTTCATATATGATGTTAACAGGAAACAAAATGGGTAGAGATGGAAGAGCACATTAGGTTAACAGGCTGTGGAAAGAGTCACATCCAAAAGACCATAATATAAAGACGTGCTCTACATCTTACTAAGTTTGTGTTACTAATTACATGATATCTGTGAAGCTGTAGAAGCCAAGATCACTGCCTTTATACTTTTGATATCATTTGCAAAAGATCATAATTCTGAGAATGTTTTATAACTTACACATTAGTAGCATCACAGTAACTGATAAATTAGCCAGCAGTTAGAAATGGAAATTCTTGTTTAAAGAAGCACAGTTTAGTCAGGTCATGCATGATATCTACTTTTCAGTTCTATTGTGGTTTGGAATGTATTTTCCAGTGCTTTGATGTCTTATTTTTAATATTACACATTAACAAATGGGTGACGAATTTTACCAATATGTATGAAAAATAGATATAGCTTGATCTATTCCTTGTATGCAAAGTGCTTAAACTTTTGTATAACCATTTTTGGACATTATTTCATGCTTTTTATGACATATTTCATATACCAAGGAATGGAGTGTATTTTCTGTGTGCTGTTCCCTTGGTTTATGCTTGTTTCTTAATAACAGGATAATGTTTTCTGCTTTATTGTTGATGATTTCCATTTGCCAATCAATCCTTTATTATTGTTGATATTTGTATTTTTACCATCACTATCATAATTTTCATCATTAGAATCACCACTGCCATTGCCACTGCCAACCCCACCACCACCCCACCCCTAACCACACACTACCTAATGCCCTAGCAATTTTCTGAATGATAGAAATATGGTCATTTTTGCCAAGTGAATTGATAATCAGAGAATTAGGATTATTATTTGTTTGTCACTGTGATCATTAAAAATCATATGATATATAATAAATAAACATTTATAAAATTAGTATTTTTAACCCTGACATTCTTTTTTCTTATAGATGTCAGAATGCAATGTAATTGGGAGTTACACTGTGCAGTTCTTGGAAATGAAAGGGTTCACTGAACGAATCCAAACATCCTTAGCTACTAATTTAGTTCAGCTTATAACAAACATGAGGGTAAGTTTTCACATAATTTTTATATGTAGAATAGTGTACCCAAGAATAATTTTTTCAGTAATGTGTTGACGCTATTGAGAGATCTTCCAGGTAATGGCAGAAAATTTTATGTACTGGTAGTTTTTCTTTTTTTTTTTTGTCTTCATAAAATTTTCACTTCATGTAAATGTGATTAGCATAAAACTTCTTCAGTCATTATGCTAGTATGAGAGTATTTTCACTCTTATGTACCTGACATATATTCCATACAAGGTTCCAACTGTGGACACTATTAAGAAAACAAAATATGCATGCTTCTTATTATGAAAGCATCCATCAGAAAGGTTAATTAATTTGGTTACTTTCTTAAAGTTAAAATTTTGAGCTTTTCTAGCCTGAAATTGAACTGGAAAAGAGAATTTGATGTTTGCATTAGGGTAGAAAATTTTAGTGTAGTGCTGTTACTGGCACCCAGTTTGCTAATGCACCTCACTGTCACTGTAAACCTTGTAAGTGCCTAGTGAGATCAGCTTTTTAGGGATTTTGTTTACTTTAGATGCACAGACTTCCTGTTTTTTTGCTTCTAAATTATATTGTATTAGATAGAGAATATTTGTTAGATGAAATAGGGTGAGATAATTTACATATATATTTTTTGTGTGTATTACCAATTGCATTGAAATAACTCCTTTTATTCTGGAATCTGGTATGATACTTTATATTTAATGTATGTTGACATTACTTGAGTAATGATTATTTTCATTATCTCCTTATTTTCCAGAATCTGGTACTGAAACTAGATGAATCACTTCTACCAATCTGTGATGCAGAGGTCCAAACAGAAATTGTTTCTCAGTGTTCAATTTGCAATTGTCCTGGGCTGTTGTCTGACCACCTTAAAACAGTTCCTTTACTAGTGAAAGATAAACATGTTGATTCTCAAGAGAAGTCATGTGAGGCAGCAGAACTTTCACATTTTCTTAGTCCAACACCTCTGCTTCATTTAAAGCAAGAAATTCCATGTGTCTCAGATTCTGTAAGTGCAGGATCATCACAGTGTGATCAGGTTGATATGGATGTGAATAATGTTTCTCTCAAAGATATAGATTCTAAAGATATTGTAAAGATGCAAGATCCAAGAATAGGGACTGATTCTCAATTAGACAAATGTGTCCTGGCAACTCCACTGCAGACAGCATTAGATGAAAATATGGACCTTGACTATGCACATTCTACGCAGCTTGAAGAAGGCCAAGGCGAGATTCTCTTGGATCATTTGGTAAGATGTTTATGTTGATTGATTTCAGTTTATATTCTGTATTCCTTAGAGACTGTCTTTTTTATGTGTGATTGCATGCGGAGAATATCATGTACCAGTATTTTTGTGTGTGTGTGTGTGTGTGTGTGTGTGTGTTGTGTGGTGTGTGTGTGTGTGTGTGTGTGTGTGTGTGTGTGTGTGTGTGTGTGTGTGTGTGTGTGTTGTGTGTATGTGTGTGTGTGTGTGTGTGTGTGTGTGTGTGTGTGTGTGTGTGTGTGTGGTGTGTTGTGTGTGTGTGTGTGTGTGTGTGTGTGTCTGTCTGTCTGTCTGAGTGTGCCTCATACGAGAATGAATTTGTATAGAAGTATTGTGCATGTGATTGGTTTTACATCCTATATACTTTATAGAATGGGATAGGGAATGTATATAGAAATATATTTGTTATAATTGATTTCTGTATGTAAACAAACAAAATTAAAGTTTGCTTTAGAGCTTACTATACGGAAATTAATTTCAGGAAGGTTCAGATGCGACACATTCAGATGGTCTGATGTACTCTGTGTATACCATGAATTCCTGTGGAGCACTCCAGTTAGTCAGTCGAGTTCTAAGCAAAAATGCATCTTCAAAAGATTCTGTTGAAGAACCTGTAGAACGAGCTATGATTGAGATCAACAACACAAAAGAGGAAGACCTTAGAACCCCTGACCACTTAGAGACCCTCACACTCCAAGAGCAGGAGCAGGACAGCCAGGTCGGCATTGCAAATGCCAGTCAAGAGGAAATGGTGGTGGCTCCAGACATTCCCAGTTTTGAAGGTTTTTAGTTTATATTTTCTATTCTATTTCCATAGTGACTGTTGTTTTTATATTTGTTGTGGACATTTCTTGGGAAATATGTAAATGTTTTTACAGAACATGTTCATTAATGCAATCTTGAAACTTGAAAGCAGAAATGAAGGGGCATCCTCATCCTTGTATTTTTTTTTTATTATTATATTTTTTTTTTATTATACTTTTTTTATTAAGAAATGTCTATTTTTCAGGGAGGTCCTCACTGAAAGCTTCAGTGAAGTGTTTGAATACTCCAAAACTTCTTCAGGCAAAAACTCCGGCACATAGCAGTGCTGGAGGTACAATCCTCACAGATATTGTAAAGGTCAGTATAACTTTTGACAAATCTTTGTAAATGTGTTTGTTTTTGTATATTTGTATCAGTGTTTATGTATTCCTATTATTGCCATTACTATATAATTGTTTTATTTAATTGCTTTCCTTTTTTTTTACTTTTTTTTTTTTTTTAATTTATCTGAAAAAATTGGATTTCTTAGAGAAGGGTAGAGGTGGATGTAAAATATATGAGATGAGATTTTGGTACATGCATAATAAGGAAATATAAGGGGTACACTTGTCAAAAGCTTACAATTTGTATGAAATATTATGGTATGAGTAGCTGTATACCTCTTCAAATTATTTTCATGAATTTTGACAGCTATCTTTTTAGAATTTGCTGATTTTTGCCTTTTCAGCTTGGACCAGAGGATCTCAGTACCAGCACATGGTGTGGGATTTGTGAGAAGGAATTCCCATCTGCAGGAAGCCTAAAGGTTCACCTCTCACGTATACACAGCCAGGTCAAGTGGTGTCACACTTGCACAAAGGTGAGAATGAAAAGATATGAACTTACATTTTCTTCTAAGTGTTTTTTTTTTTTTTTTTTCAATATGGTTAGGTAATTAGTCCTTTGGTTATGATTTTTAAAATGAATTTAGATGATGATGAAGTTTTTGTAAAGTTCTGGTATATGCAATATGTTGCATGTACTCTTTATGTTCTTGCAGACAATCAGTTCTGAAGAGGAGATGTGTGATCATGTCCGTGAATGCCATGCAGATTTACAGTTTATTTGTGGTATCTGTGGCCAAAGTTTAAGAACAAATGCAGCATTTCAGAGACATATGGACATTCACAAAGGCTTACGTGGAAGTGCTTGTGAGGTAAGTGTGTACTTCTTTGGTCTAGTTTCATGTTTATATGCTTGCATCCAAGCATACATTGGACTTACTAGCTTGTAGTAATTTTTTCTTTGGAAAATGCTTATATAGTTTATTGATTTTACTATAATTCATTGGTACAAATCAGCATTGTAGAGACTTTTTTGTGCTTCTATAAATAAACACCTACATACAAAAATGTTTGGATCTTATTTCATTTGTTTAATTTCTGTAATTTAAAGAAATTGTTGCATAAAACAGTATTAAACCAATATATTCTGATTACAGATTTGTGGTCAAACATTTTCAAGAACAGAATATTGTAGAGAACACAAAAGAATTCATACAGGAGAAAAACCTTACAAATGTGAAACTTGCAAGAAAAGTTTTAGTAGATCCAGCAACTTGTATACTCATATGAGAGTAAGTAAAATTACATTTCAGGTTTGTGTATAGTATACACTCATTATATAATTGTGTACAAAATTAACTTGATTCTCTTCAGGTAGATACCGGCAGTTTATTGAACTGAAATAAATCATGTCATTAGGGAGTTGGTAGAAGGCTTCTAGTGTTATATAGTTATCTTCAGATGTAACGGTAATGAGGTGAAATATACATTCTTATTCTTAAATTTATAGAAT